TTTTCTTTTTTTTTCGATTTGGGGGAGACGTGTCGAGGAGAGAAAAGTTTTCGTGCGAACGGAACAATTTTATCTTGTTTGTAGAAGAGATTAAAAGGTAAGACATGTAGTCTTTCTCCAGTGGAGAAGTTGTGTAACACCTTGTTAATTTAATAGAAAAATATCAAATTATTTTTCCAAAATTAGAGTTAACTTTTCGTAGATCGATTTTAAACTTTATTTAACGGGTGCTACTCAAACACTGCTGATATAGCCATACTGTCATATAACGGCTTATGCTGTCCCGGTTCGAATATCGTCGAGTCGACTTACCCGAAGTCGACTCCTCCCACATATCTCCTCATGATGATACATCCGGTCGAAGGTCCGGATGCTTTTCTTAGTCGACTTCTACCATGTCGACTAGATTTAAGTCGACTCCGTCTGGAAGGATGAATAAGTGTATTAGGGTCTACTAGCGATTGGGGGATGACCCAGCCAGCTCGAAAGCAAGGATGTCTCAAGTCGACTGAAGTAGTCTCGGGACTCATGGATCCCCGACGACTCCTATACACTTCGGCATATCAGAGGGAAGCTATTAAGGGACAAGGAAGAATCTAGATGTTGACTAGGAGGAGGATAGAATACGAACCGACAAGGGTATTTTGGACATTTCCAGTAAGTCGGCCAGGGCATTTTGGGGACTTCAGGTAAATGTTTTACTTCTATATAAAAGAGCTGAGGTAACTCCAAAACCCTAACTCCCATTCATTCTACATTCTTCTCCATTATTGCTGCTTTCTCAGAGCAGCTCTCTTCATCTCTTTCACATACTGACTTGAGCGTCGGAGGCTCTACGCCGGAAATCCCTCCGGCATTGAGTTCTTGTGAGTGTTCTCGCGGTTCGATAGCAGTTTGGAGGCCATCAAGATAGATCTGAGCTCATTCCCATCGGTTCATTCCAGATCTGGGCGGTTTTCCACCGGTTCATTCTAGATCCGAGAGTAGACCCATCATTTTGGCACCGTCTGTGGGGAGTTCTTGAAGGAATTAAGAGCTTTACACCTAGCTTTGATCTGTCTCTAATGGCTGAGAAGGAAGGACTACAGAAGAATTTGGACGAGGATTTCAGGGCAACATGGACTGATAAGCGACCTCCGCCGATTCCCAACCCCAGGCCACCGCTCCAAATGTTTGGTTTTCCACCGTTCGGAGCACACGCGCCGTCAAGATCGCGTACGGGAGAAGAGACACCTATCACTCCGCCTG